TGGACTGGATTATGCATCAGACTGTGGATGGGAGCGAGGATTCATGACGACACTAAATGACCGATGAGAAGACTCTTGAAGATCTGCATTTCGCAGATGATATATGTCTAATTTCACACAAACTCGAAGACTTACAGGCGAAAACTGGCAACAAACTGGCTGAAAAGCAGCTGATGGTGAAAGGACTGCAGGTGAACATAGAGAATGTGGAGACGGATTTGATGAAGATAACCGACGAACCGCAAGAACAACAGCAAAAACAACAACAACTAGCATCAATTATCATCACTTATGTAGGTAGCCAGCATCGTTTCAACTTCAGGCAGGTGGCATGGGTGAAGATTTCAAATTCAGAATGGGAAAGGCATGGTACACCGTCAGCAATCTAAAGCTAGAAATTTTCTCCACTCCACGTCAGCGGAAGGAACAAGATTTGCATTTACAACACAAAAACAACTACGGGTAAGAAACTTGGCAGGTGTATCACGAAGAGGAATTCCAAGAGTCCACAGCTTATCAATGAGCTTATAAATATATTCTTCGACAACTCTATAAAACACGTGAACAGCGAAGAAAATTTTGTTTTCGACGATTCATTTTCACTCATAAGCTACAGTACGATAATCGTAATTATATTACACCTAAGAAAGAATTCACAAGACGACCAATCAGATGGCGGTAACATTTCACCTCGAAAGAGGTGTTACGTAATATATAGTGTAGACTAGATGGAGGTGACCAGTTGGAAATTAGAGAAAGGGGGAGGCAGAAGTTGGAATCACGTAATAAGTATGAGAAAACGACTAGTCAATATGATTGTGTAAAGTGACCAGGAACTAGTGGAGAGACGATAAAGTGCTTTTTTATATAAAATCTGTATGAAAACGCAGTGTTATTTATAAACAGCAGTAGAGTGATATTAAAATAAGGATGATGAGAATAATAACAGGAACAATAATTATAGTGAGAACGTTACTCTGGCCACCGTTGGTTGACGATTGGATGTATGCAGTGTTTTTGAATGCAGAGGTCAGGTTTCAGATCCCGAATAGCCAACGATTCATCTACATACAGATGGCGTATTCGAAGTAAGTCTTTTCGTACGATATTGAGTGACTCTGTGTAGCACTGTGAAGCATTCATGCAAGTTGGTAAGGTGTTCGAGGATGGAGCTGCTAATATTCTTCTTTTCTCCTCTGCCTGGCTAGCTAGCTACCTAGCTTCTCTGCTGACAACAAGGTACATAAAAATCTATAAATATCTGTTGATTTTCTCAATAAACTATCTGCTGTCTGACCCTTGTCTTCTGTCGTTACAGTAGTGGTAAATGATGACAGGCTCCCCACAATAACCATCTTCATTTTAATTACTGATATCAGGTGTAAGTAATGTGATAGACAATAAGCTAATTGGATTTGCAATTTTGTTAAGATCAGGTATGATAAGTCAACTGATGTGGCTGTAAATCTTTACTAATTGCGGTGATTAACGATGTGCGCTATCCACATCACTCTCACTGATTTTCTTGACTAGCAGTTTTAGCTAAATTCATGCCGTACTCATGAAAAAGGTTTAAGGGTAGTGAGTGGAAAGCGAATAAGAGACAATCCTTTGTTGTAATCAAATCTTAAAACCAAACTTTATTCACAGAGATAGCTACGTCTTCATTTTTTGAAAATTTTATCTGTTCTCCTGACCAATGTAGAATTCGAATAGAATCTTTTGAAATACTCTATTAACTTTTTATACTAATATGCATAACAATTATGTATGTGACCTGAACATATTTAGTGATCAGTCACCAGGGGTATAGGCAGTGTCAGTGGCCATATATACTTTTCACGTGTGACATTAATTACATCTTCGTATTGCTATTTATTTAAATTTGTTCTACACTGGTGGCTTGCTTATAACTCGGGGCTACCGGAAACAATCCGCATTAGTAAACTACTTGTAATTTAATAATATTCACGTTGTTTAAATCTAGTAAAATATGATCTCTGTTGGTGTTGTTTACTCTGATGAGTATTTGGAGACAATATTTACAATGCAGAAAGCATTGTTCAGCTCGATGGATGGTAGTCCATCCGTTTCCTGAGTAGTCTCCGGCGTTCAACAAATGTACTCCTGAACATTTTATAATTGTGGCATTGATCAACAACATTTTGTCGTGTATTTATGGAAGGAGGCAAAGAAGAGATATCATGATGATGAATTGGTTTTTTCCTGAGGTCACATAGTACTATGTGTGTCAAACGGACACCTGTCAGTCAGTTATTCTTTTACTTGAAGATCCCGGATGGAGGGGAAATATCTTGGCTGTAAATATATTCACTTCTTATTACCTGATAAATCATGAGCGTTTTGACTTATCTTCATTTCCTGTTCTATCTGTCACCGCCCCACATCCATCCATTAAGGTATGATTAAATTTTTGTGTCGTCTTATTTAACGTTTACTGTTTGTTTGAAGTGTGACAACTTGCATGAAATGTTGCACTTCTTGGCTGAGTTCTGCACTGGTTAATCAGCCAATCAATCGCATTATTGATGGCGGATTTAAACAGTTTAGTACCATTGCATTCAAAATATGGATAATCTTTAAACTACTTTGATGAAAGTAAATGTTATGAGAAATATGATAGTGAGCAAAGAATATTCACATTTTCGGTAACCTGTTCTTCACCATCTCCAGATTCTACAGTTATATATGCATCCATCCATAATAGTGAATGAATGAATTAATGTTCTTGGGAAACATCCAAAATACGCTGGTCCAAATTGATTATCCTAGTGGATTTGTAAGGAGACACATGAACACCAAGTACAATAAAGAGAAACTGACAACAGTTGAAAAGAAACAACTGTTCATGAAATTGCAATTTAATGGGGATGTGGATAGCGAAGTCTTACATCTGAGATTGTTGAGAGCGATGAAACGGACTTATACTGCCGCCACCCATTGTTTGTAATTTTCCAGCTGCCGACCAATTTTGATTCCTCAAGTGAAAGACAAGCTACCTAGCTGTGCCACTTCTTTGTGTATCTATAAATTTAGTTGCTCCTGTGGAGAGAGCTATATAGGGCGAACAACTAGACAGCTTAACAAACGCATTAATGAGCATCTTCCTTCATGGTTTGTAAAATGTCAAATAAAATCAATACGAAGTCCTATTTTGGCTCATTTGATTGATAGTGGTCACCAAGTGGACAAAAATAGTGCCTTCAAAGTTATCTATCGCATTCCATTGAACAATAATGTTGTTAATAACACCAATTCATTCATTCACTATTATGGATGGATGCATATAACTGTAGAACTTGATGATGTAGAGCAGGCTATCGAAAATGGGAATATTCTTTGTTCAGTAACCATTCATTTGAAAAAAATAGTCCATCAGTCTTCTGGCTGCCACGTCTGGGAAAAACGCGAAAGTGTAAGAGAGGCATGTACTGAAACTATAATAGATGAAATTACACGAACGGCAAAATAACTAGGTGAAGATTTGATGATATTAGATAGTTGGAGGCAATCGGCCACAGGAAGCCTTGGACCTAGGTTTCGTGCTAGTTGGCACTCATCAACAAGGCATGTCTGTGACTTTGAAGGAACTCACTTCCCTTCTGAGATTCGAACCCGCATCACCCAGTACTGCATTCAGAAGCCTTACCACTGAGCTATTTGGGCCCGCGATGGACCTCCTGTATGACTGTAGTGGGTATTTTCATTGGCCACTAGTAACTAGTATGACGTGTCTAGTTCTTTCATTGGTGCAGACTGAATTCTATCAGTCAGTCAGGTTTGCAATGTGGCCACCATACCACTAGGTAGCTCGCCATCCCGGTGCACATTGATTTGATAATATTAAATAGTTGGAGGCAATCTGCAGGAAGCCTTGCCTAGACCTAGGTTTCGTGCTAGTTGGCACTCATCAGCAAGGCGTAAGGTGAAGATTACTGGGGAGTTTCATCATATATTTTTTGAGATAATTTGATGACGTAAATAATAACCCTAACCAATTTTTATTCTTATCGGACAGACCTGATGTATATATATAATATATATATATATATATATATATATATATATATATAGAAATAAGTATAGATATATATACAATTGCTGTTGTACAGCTACTAAGTGAATGAATTTGCCTCCCAAAAATAGACTCTTCTCTGAACTACGTGTTTTGTTGTTTTCCATTAATATCTTGATAGGGATTATTCATTAATCAGTGGTTATATGTGTCAGCATTGCTCTGAATTTCTTGCTGATTGATTCTATCCAACTGAAGTGCTGAGTTTATGCTGGACGGCATATCGACTGTGTGAGTTCACGAATGCTTCAATGATGCCTTCAGATAAACGTCATCTCACTTTACTCAGTATATATATATAGTTCAGTCACTTGATTCCAACAACTACTTGATACTGCCTTTACTGTTCCCCTAAGCTTTGTGTTCTTTGAGAGACATTGAAGATACCTGGATGAAATTAAAAGTCATATTGAGAAGTGTATATATTTTTTTATCATAGTATGCATAAACTAATCAGTGCATCAGTGACACAGCGGTTAGGACGCTCGCCAACCATGCACATGGTCCGGCGTTCGATCCCCGGCCACCGACGCACTCCTTTACCTCGCTAAGCCAGTAATAATACTGGTAAAGAGGAAAGGTTGGGCATGAGGCTAGCAACCCCACCCTGTAAAATAAACACTGCTACAGTAACTTCAGGCCTCTAGCTTGAAGTCCTATATTCCCCCCACTGGGAACGTGAAGGAATAAAAAAATAATAAATGAATCAAGAGGATTACTGCATTTGTGTTCAAGCGATTATTTAGCCTATTTCTGAAGTTTACAAGTCCTCACAACACATTAGAACTTCAAGGCACTGGGCGAAAATTCGTTCAGTGTAGATTTACAAAACTCTAGACAGCGCACTTCTGTTTCAAAGTTACTATTAGCATAAAAAATGTTACTTTAATTATTATTTTTTCAGCGGTACGTACATATTAAAAAATTATATTGGTCGGAAGAAATACCCGAGACTTTATGAATATATTTAATTTAAATTTTTAAAACAAATAAAAACACATATCAATCATGGCAGAAACCAATGGAGAAAATAATGAGAGTGAAACGTTACGGATGGTATGGTTGACAGTTTTCCAATGTTCGGTTTTTTTTTTCTTATTTATTTACTTATTTCATAACTACAGAAACACCTGGATGCGAAAAGCTGTAATGTCAAACAGACAGAGTACAGCAAGAGGGAAGGTAAAGATTCGTCTTGACAATAGTTAGGAAGACCCCCAGATGAACAGGAACATATTCCCTTGGGTTACGAGTGGAGCCTAGAGCTTCAGCAACACATCTCTTCACTTTCTTATATTTTAGCGCTGTCCTCTTCAACTAGCTAGCCACACAATCGCCTATAATCTCCTCCACCCTTCAAGTCACGACATCTCCTCATTGTCAAAATAGTACCGACAACGCACTCTTCGTTTCACATTCACATTTCGCTGGAATGATGACGTGCATTCCGCGCGAAGATTTCCAAACTGGTTTAAGGTTGCTGAAGGTATATATTGCATTTCCCACTCTCTCTGGCTGGTTGGCTGATTTTCACGTCTTCATCGGTTCCGACTGCTTGTGGTTGAAACGTTGTTGCAGCCTAGGCTAGATAAGATAAGTGAAGGAAGGAAGGGAGTAACCTCTTTCAACCTCTTTCTCCCGTTCAACGTGATTGGTGCTGGTTGTTGTTGCTGCTGTTGGTGGTGGTTGGTTGGTTATCTTGTTGTCTTCATCACCTCCGTCTCCACCTTCTGTGTGTTCATCACCTGGGTGGAGTCAGTCCTGTCTTCGCTGTCTGCCAGTCAGCCAACCACCCACCTACCCAGCCAGCCTGTTCAACCAGTTTGTTGTCAGTTTTCACCTGCCTGCCTGCCTGCAAGTCTTCCAGTTTGTGTTTGTGTGACATTCAACGGCAAAAATCATCCACTCGCGAAATCCAGAACTTCAAGAGTCTTGTTATATCGGTGAGTGCAGCGTATTCCTTCATGTCTTCTCACTCAATCAATGCCAACGCACAGTGTGACGCATAACCCAGTCCAGTCAACCACAATTAGGAATATCATCCTTGGTAGCCAGCTTGTCTTACTGCTGTATTCACTTTGAATGCCCCTCTGACTTTTCCGCTGTGGATTACCTGGCATCTGACATTGTCATATATCTGTAGCCTGTTGAATGGGATTGATAAAGGCTTGGGGCATTGCAATTCGTAGTGCTGAAGTAGTTTCCAAATTATTTGTCGGTTGACGCTGTCTGTTGAAGGCCTTTTCGAAGTCGATTGAGGAAGTTGAGGTAGAGATAGGTTTGACTGCCATTCTTTGCTTTGTTCTGTGATGGTGATGAGTAGAGTTGTAATTTTATGAGCCCATGATTTGCTTTTCCTGAATCCAGCTTGTTCCGGCGGGCGGAGTTCTGCATCCAATGCATCTTTTAGTTCTCTCCAGGATGACGTGACTTCTTATTCTCATTCGGATGGACAAGAGCATTATTCCACTCCAGTTATTTTCGAGTGAGGAGTCAGCCGCCCTCTGTGGTAGCTTAATAAGGTAGCCAGCCTTTCTTCCAGTCGGTAGGCACCTTTCCTTCCTCCCTTCCAACCCCTTTGCAATAATGGCGTGAACATTTCTGCCACAGTCTCTGGGTCTGTTTTCAGTGCTTCTGAAGGAGTTTCGTCTGGTCCCGCTGCCTTCCCTGACTTCAGTAGATTGACTGCACTCAAGGCATCCGCTTTTGTTGGAGGATTAGTGTCCACTGGCAGGCAGTTCCATGCGTGCTGTTGGTGGTGGCATTTCTGAGCGAGTTGCAGGTGAAGGTTGATTCAAGAGTCCTGTAAAGTGATCAGCTCATTGTTTTATTTGTTTCTCCTCCTTGGTAATTAGGTTTCCATGACCATCTTTTATAGGTTTCCTCTGCATTGATCTCTTCCCGGATAGAGACCTGGCTATCTGATGTAATGTTCTGAGTTCCCTTTTGCCTGCGGCTGCCTGTTCTGCTTCAGTTGCTGCTAGCCAGTGTGTCGTAGAATTGTCACACTTGTTTCTCTTCTCTAGAACTCCTCTTTCCTTCTTTATTCAGTGATTATTTACTAGTCTAGTTTACTAGCTTACTAGTTTTCTAGCCGGTGCCAAGCCCAGGAAAAGAGGGAGGGTTGGGCGTGGGGCTAACGACCAATCAAAATGCTACAGAAACTTCTAATTACATATGATTTCCAGTAATGTGAATATGTATTTTCTGTCAGCGAATGCAGAGAAACACGAAACTATTTCTTCAGCTCAAAAAATCAATACTATGTGTTTTGTGTTAATTTCTTCAGTTCTCCGAAATGGAGTTTAACTGTTCTCCGCATGAACTCTATTATAAGCTTACTTGTAGTTTGTGTGAAAACCTTCAGCAGTATAACAAATACCCGTTCTCCAGTAATGGAATTAATACATCTGAAAGGCACTTTACCAATGTATAGGCAATATAATGATGTGGTATATCATTCTTTGTGAAATATAGGGCTTGAATCTTTACGAAGTTACACTAGCACTAGTGTGGCGTGCGCTACTGATAAGGCTTATCAGTAGTAGTAGTAGTAGTACATAAGAAGACGTTCATCAGCACAAAAACATCAATTGGCAGGGAGATAGATTTGATGTCAGGGAAAACAAAGGATACAGCACTGCGTAGATACATGAGAGACGTGAAAGGAACACGAAGAAATACAATACAGAGGGGTGAGGCAGAAGTAGCACAACACAGAAGGCCTGTGCAAATGTCACGGCGTTGAAGATAATTTGTGTTGCGTAATTTGTGTATCTAGACATACCATCAGATCAAGTCTCTCGTCTTCTACAGTGGCACTGGTGCTGTTTTTTAAACATGGCAGACTTGCTAGCCGTGTTTCCCCGTGCTTACTATAAGGGTGAGTCAGGCGGCAATCGAATCAGTACCACCTGATTGACTGACCGGTGAGGATTCTGTCATTAACCCACTGATGCAGCCATAAGTTACAAGGTGATATAAACTGATCTGAGCATTCATCAGTGCTCACTAACAACTATCCATCCTAGTGTAACTAATCCATGCAAACTCTGGTGTACAGTTACGGGATAAACTGTAGACAATTTGTAATAAAGAAACTGCAAAACACAACACTATGATATATATAATCAGCGAGGAACTTATATCATTGTAATTACTCAGGTTATACTGGCATATTTTATTTCATTTCGGCTATTGTTTTATGACAACTTAATCACCGTTCATCAGCATGGTGGGTAATTCTGTTTACGTTGTCAAGTTGGCCAATTGGTAAAGATTACAAAACCAAGTGTACATTGTTGGATTTGATAAGCGTATAAAATTATACAAAAGCAGCATGTGTTTACATAGTGAAATTGTTTATCACATTCGTGTTGATTTTGTCATTTCATGGGGAAGTCGGGGGTGTTGTGGTCTAACCAGGTCTAATTCTCCTCCAGTCCATCATTCCTATTCGGTTCAGACAATTTGGATTCCATTTGATATGAAGTGCTACTCAGGATATCAGACGTTCTTTGTGATTTCTGAAGCTATTTCTGGATGATGATTTCAATATTGTCAAATTCATTTTTGTGACCTGATTCTATGTCGCAGAGTGCAGACGACCTGGATTTCTCGGTGATCGAACAGATGCTCCACGGTGTTCATTTCTTCTGATTACCTTGATTTCTCTCTGGAGATGTCTGTCCGATGTGTATCAGCCCATGACATTGCAAGCATTTTGATTTGTAGGCACAATTAGATTGAGAATCTTTAGGGATTTGATCTTTCGCATGGACAGGGTTGCTTTGTAGTCCGTGTGCGTGTGCGTGTCTGATGTTTTGAAGAAAACTCTGATGTTGTGCTCTTTGAGTACTCTTCTGATGACATCGTCTGACATTTCTGATCTATATGGAATGACAATTGGTGAGGTCCATTCATGTTTTCGGAATACTTGTTTTCGACCATATTTAATGTCCGTGTTGATTCTGTTGATAAAGTTCTTTGGATCGTATAATATTGTTGTAAAATTGTATTTTTTTGTATGTGCTCTATTCTGCTGCTTCACTATACTACTGAGAAATTCAATTCAACTCTTCTGGCTTTATTTTTCTCTGTCTTTATTGAACTACTTACTCATAGCTGAAGGCATGTTCATCAGAAGTCAAAACAAATGGAGGACCTAGTCTGATGAATGGTGTACACAATGGCGAAGAAGCAGAAGAAGGAGAAGAAGAAGACTTTATAAGAGAAGTGAAAAAATACGATTTCATTCGATTGAGTTTTCCTGACGTGAATGGAATTCATTTGAGTAAATTAGTGTCGACAAGATTTGCAAGAAAAGTTGCCAAAGGGTTAAGTGAAGTTTACTCAGGATCGATTACAACTGGACCTCGAGGTGAAGTAAGCAGAGGTTGTTTTTCTTTTTATGTTGTCTTTTTTACAATTCGTTGTATAACCACTTGAAAGCCTAATTAATATCAGTTACTTCATGAATAAAGACCACTGTCTGAATTGAAGGCTTCAATTCAATGAGGGAAAAAGTTTGTGTTTGAACAAAGCAAGAACAACAGTGGTTTTTGCAGAAATAAAGTGGTACCATCATTGTTTATTTCGTTACCTTCTCGTCAGCTGCTTACAGGCCACAGTCATTATTAAATATATCTACAGAAACAATTTTAACATACTTGCACAGAGGTCATTTTAAACAAAAAACCAATCGATCAATATACGCATACACTAATAATATATACATATATGTATGCAATATTAAAACTATTCCGAACAATAATAATCATACACAATGAAAACTTTTTGGCATCTCGCATTCGGATGAAAAATATCCAGTTACCAGAGAAAAGAAAGACTAATAACCGCTTCTTTCTGAACATATATATCAGGTTTCAGACGCTTGATGGAAATGGCTTCAGCATACTTAAGGAGAATTGAGTTCTTTTGCTTATTGATAATTTTGAACGACATTTCGACGTCCACCTCATGACCCGTGTCGAGGAGATGCCTGGCAGTGGCTCTGTTTAAAGCATTTGTTTCCTTTAGACGTAAGCTGTTTGGTACATGTTCAGATATGCCCTTCTTTCTGTTCTTCCAATGTAACTGCTCCCGCAGGTAGATACATTTGTAGATACATTTAATAATGTCTTTGCCCTGTAAGCCACTGACGAGTAGGCAACGAAATAAAAGATGGTACCATTTTATTCTGCTAAAACTGTAGTTCTTGCTTTGTTCAAATTCATTAAAGGGAATAAATGTATGAAAAAGTTTGTATTATCAAGTGGAGGTTTGTTCAGAGTAAGAAGATGGCTCCAGCATTATTTTACTTCGTTCGTTGACTTTTCATCATCTCAGCTGCTTACAGCCTAAATAAATTATTATTAATGAAATTAGATAGTTGGAGGCAATCGGCCACACGAAGCCTTGGACGTAGGTTTCGTGCTAGTTGGCACTCAACAGTCAGTCAGTAAGGCGTATCTGCAGCCTTGGGGGAAATCATGTCTCTTCTGAGATTCGAATCCGCGTCACCCAGTGCTGCAGTCAGAGACCTTACCACTGATCTATTCGGGCTCGCGATTGACCTCCTGCCGATTGCCTCCAACTGTCTTATATCATCAAATCAATGTGCACCGTGATGGCGAGCTACCTAGTGGTATGGTGGCCACATTGCAAACCTGACTGACTGATAGAATTCAGTCTGCACCAAAGAAAGGACTGGAGACGTCACACTAGTTTCTAGTATCCAATCAAAATTACTATTAAGTTGATGCACAAATAAATGTCAACATACTCGCAAATTTTACATAAGGGCAGTTGACAGGAGGTTCCGAATTCAGGAATGGTGATAAGAAAACTACACTTATATAGTTTTTCTACACAGGCTATTCGAGTTTAAACAAAGTCACGGTATGCATACAATAGTGAAGGCGTTATGGAATAAAGACGAGTGATGAGTAAGATGATGTGTAACTAATAAATTGGGTAACAATGTATTCAGTTCAACTCAGATCACACAAACAAGAGGCAAGCAAAATTACACTATATCAGAGCAGTGATAGAAATTCTTCCTCTAATTTCGCTACGGAGAATGTTCTCCTAGCTCTATAGTGCGGAGTCCTGACTACTGCTCGTTTATAGCCAGCTATTTGGACAAAAACTGTTAAAATGTAGGTATTGTCCATTCTATGTAGGCTTTCGTTCAACTGACCTGTGGCGACTACCATCTTCCAGGCGTTGCCTGGTTTTGAGAATTTGGCACCTTCAGGTTGTTGAAATAAGAATGAAGTTAGCTCTAGTATAAGTAATTCAACTAGACATTTCACTTAGACATTTTGGAATACGTAAATAACAGTGATTATTAGGCTCTGTGTGAGGATATTGACGAATTCTTTCAGGTCAATTCAGAAGTCTTTAGAAATGCAGCTATTCTTCTCTATGACAACGAAATAGTGTTTCATTTAATTTGTTCCCTGACTACCACATTTAATACCTCACTTTATCTCAAATTATTATTATTCCCTTGGTTTCGAAGTGGAACATAGGGCTTCAACAACACATCTCCGCTTCGCTCTATTTTGTGCTGCCCTCTTCATCTGGGCTCACGATTGCCCATAAGCTATCGTCTAATCCTCCCTGCAACTCACACCATCTCCTCCATATCACCCTCACACCCACAACCCACTCGTCATTTCCCATTTCGATTCCACTCGAGCGATGGATGGCCTGCATTGAGCGCGATGTCATTCAACGGCCTCCTTCCTCAGCGTATGCACGATCAACCCATCTCCATATCCTTCTGCACATTTGTTGAGCAATCAGCTCTTGGTTGAATTTTTCCCAGTCAGAGTTTCTTGTTGCCAATTCTTTCTGGCCAACCGTCTGGCTGGCTATTTGGTTTTCAGTATGGAGCCACGGCGTATCCCAAATATTCATCAACCTTATTCAACAGCTGTACGACAACGGCACATGTCAAGTGATCCACAACGGAAAACTCAGCGAGGCGTTTGGAGTAAACACAGGAGTCAGACAAGGGTGCTTATTATCACCAATGATATTCCTAATTGTGGTAGACTGGATTATGCGTCAGACAGTGGGAAACGAGAAGACAGGGATATCCTGGACTGACGTGAATAACCTAGAAGACCTGGATTTCGCGCGTGGATGATTTATGTTTGATGTCACACAAAATCGAAGACTTACAAGCGAAAACAGACAAACTGGTCGAAGAAGCAGCAAAGACAAGACTCCAGGTGAACATAGACAAGACGGAGAATATGAAAATAACCAACCAACAACAACAACAACAGCAGCAACATCCAGCGCCAATCACCATCAACGGGAGGGATTTGAAAGAGGTTACTTCTTTCACTTATCTGGGGAGCATTGTCTCAACCACAGGAGGAACGGACGAGGATGTCAAATCGAGAATCGGGAAGGCGAGAAACACATTCATCAACCTGAAACCAATCTGGAAATCTTCGTCACTCAGCATCAACAACAAAATTCGGATTTTCAATACAAACGTCAAGTCAGTCAGTTCTTCTATACGGATATCAGAAACTTGGCGGGTCACAAAGAATATTTCCAACAGCCTGTTGCAGACCTTTATCAACAACTGTCTTCATTCTGTACTGAAGATCAGATGGCCGGAAAGAATCACAAACAAGAAACTATGGGAACAAACAAAACAAGAACCAATCGCTCAACAAATATGCAGGAGAAAGTGGAGATGGATTGGACACTCGCTGAGGAGGCCGTTGGGTGACATCGCGCGTCAGGCTATCGCTCGAGTGGAACCCGAAAGGGAAGCGGCGAGTGGGACGTCCAAGGGTGACATGGAGGAGATCGTGTGAAGAAGAGTTGAAACAGTATGGATTAACATGGATGGAGGTGAAAAGTAGAGCAGAAGACAGAAGCAAGTGGAGACGTGCAGTTGAAGCCCTATGTTCCACTAGGAACCCAAGGGAACAATAATAATAATAATATGGAGCTAGACAGCGAAGCGAGCAGCTGTGGTGGTCTGTTGGAAATGCTTTTCGTGATGTACGCGCAATGAGAGTTTCTCATCCATTCAGAAGCACTAACTGACTGACTGACTTCACTGACATTTGTGTTCAAAATCCGAATCCTGTCCTCTATGCTGCTGAGGTGGAGTGCAGAAGATTTCCAAACTGATTTCAGATTGGTTGTCTTCATCACCTCCGTCTCCACCTTCTGTGTGTGTCACCTGGATAAAGTCCTGTCTTAGCTGCCAGCCAGCCAGCCAGTTGGTGGCCAGTTTTTGCCTGCCTGTAATTCTTCGAGATTGTGTTTGTGTGACAGTCAACAGCATAAATCATCCACACGCGAAATCCAGATCTTCTGGAATCTTGTTATTTCTGAGGATGCGGCGTATACTTGTCTTCTCACTCACTCAATCACTCACCACGCACAGCATGACGCATGATCCATTCCACCAAATTTGAGAATATCATCGGTGATAAAATATCTCATAATATAGTTTAGATAAATTTTAGCTGTCAGTACGACCAGCCTGTTATACTGCTTAATTAGTTTTGAAGAAGTTCCGCTTGTTTAACCTTGAATTAAAACTTACTGCACTGTGATCGCCTCACCTGGTTTACTAGCCTGTCCCAAGACTGGGTAAAGAGGGAAGTTTGGGCATGAGGCTAGTGACCCTACGCCACTAAACCTATCAAACTGTTACAGAAACTTCAGCACATAAGAAAAATATTAAAATTTAAAAAGGAAATTATTTCTTCGCTGGATTCAGAGAGGCAAAATGACGCCACAGGCTGGTGAAACCACGCCTTCGAGAAGCCAGTCAGTCAGCCAACCAGCCGATGTGTCTCCTCTCGATGAAAGCTAGAACACGAATGGGGACGTGGAATGTCTGTACAATGTACGAAGTCGGCTTGCAAGGCTGCCCAGGTAGCCAAAGAAATGAGGAGATATGACTTAGAAGTGCTGGGAATCTGCGAGAGCAGATGGAATGGACGTGGAACTGTGATCGTGGAGTTATCGTCATCAACGCTTCCTCGGCAAAAATGATTTAATTCTGCTTTAATTTATACAAAGACTTTAATCATCTTTGCTTTATTTGTGTCTTGTACAGTCTGTTTGAAAAATGGTCACGAATGTGAACATTTCACCGAATACCTGTGAAAATGCAATATCCATAAGAAAGGGAGTACTGTTCACTGCAATAACTTGTTATCTCCAATTTTTCTTAGTTTATATAAAAAATACGAAGTAATGCCCCCGAACTATCTATCCTAATATAGTTGAAAAATCACTGACTTGGAATATGTCAGTCTTCTTTTTTATTGATTACATGGGTATCAGGTGTTTGCCTTTATTTGAATACCGCTAGCTGGATAACTTGACACGTGATAGGGTCATGCCTTATAAGAAGAAGACTTACTAAAAAATATTTTTGTGAAGATGAACGGATTCTGCCTCCCTTTCTTTCACATAAGTCATACTGGTATGTCAGTACGTGCACACACACACACACCAGTTGATTACTTAATTAAAGGTGCCTTTTTTATTACTACACTCCCGTGTATATCATAAGTGAAAGCCTACCATCTCAAATCCGCGGGCTTATAACTGCTTTCCTCAGATGCCAGGAGGTGAAACGTGTGAGGCTTTCAACCCTCAGTGTGTTTCATTCCACGTCTGAATCAAGTGGTTTACCGCGCACTGATACAGCAGCTAATATGCTTGTAGTTGCGCTAATGAATTTCCTACCTAGTTGATTTGCAAGCCTATTCTTCTAACCACTATTAGCAACAGACAACAAAGACAACAACACGATACGATGCCACTGAAACCACAATATATATATATATATAAGGTGTGGCAATAGAGGAGCTAGGTTGCCCTTTTGCACCATTAATGCGTCGGTGGTATAGCGGTTAGGACGCTCGCCGACCATGCACATGGTCCGGGGTTCGATCCCCGGCCGACGCACTCCTTTACCTCGCTAAGCCACAAATAGTGCTGGTGAAGAGGAAAGGTTGGGCATGAGGCTAGCAACCCTATCCTGTAAAATAAACACTGCTGCAGAAACTTCAACCCACTAGCTTGTAGCCCTATGTTCCACTGAGGAACGTGAAGGAAAAAAATAGTGGCTTCTAGGGATTCTGTTTGCTTCTGAAGCCAATTAGGAATATGTTGTGAAGTCGGAGCTTACTCACAGAGATATATGAGTCCTCTCTCTTGTGTATGTGTGTTCACACGTCATTCAAATGAAAATACAGTGGGAGAGTGACATCATTTTTCGCTGTTCGAAGGCTTAGATAGATATATTGGATTCACATTCTCATTATTATTATTATCTTAGCCGCATTAAAAACATCTTTTTTATCGGCAGCGTTCAATCCTTGTCGAGTTACCAAGCTGCTATGATCACCCATGTTTAGGGTAGCGTGATATAAGCGTCTTCCTTAGTGGGCAGTTTGAGAGTGGATCTTGATGTTCCACTGGTCACTTTGCTTCTCCTAATGGACTTGTCTGGATAATTATTATCAACCTGACTTTGTGTCAACTTTCTTTTTCTTCGTCATCATGTTTGTCTTCCGTGCATATTCGTTGGATTCTACTGAAGAGGCACCTCACTCACTAAGGCTGTTTTGTACCGAAAAGGGCAGAAACTGTGATAATTAAGATACTGTCCTGTTCACGTAGGTTTTCTATAAACGGATCATCTTATCTATCCATCAAGCCGCCAACTAAGGAATATATCTAGGGAAGATAAACAATTATTTACCATTGAATACGTATGGCCAACATGCACACATAGGGAGGACTCATCCACCTGTGCAAGTAAAGGCTGGCTTGAGAGCATATTCTTGAATGGCTTCAGAAGCAAACAGAATCGCAAGAAGAGGAGACAGTAGAAAAAACTGATGTTTACACGTCTTTTAAACTTATCAATACAATATGTTTAGGGGACTGGGTATCTTGAAGTCTGTGGAAGCCCTAGCTAGCAATTAGGAAGCTTCAACCGTCTTTATGCGTTCAAAGCAACAATTCATCATCACACTAAACCTTCCTTGGTATTTTGACCTTCAGTATGTCCTTTGAACTTGAGCCAAGTCTGTTTTCTCACCTCTAAACTCTTAATTAATTTCACATATATCCCTATGACAAGTCCGTGCGTGTGTGATCAGATTGTTCGAAATGTGTCTTCTTATTGCTTTGTTTAGATTCATAAAAGGGAACCAAATGTTTGTCTTACTTCCAGGTATTCGATATGCAAGAAATTATTGACAGAAAGCATGTTAACAGTAAAGTGAAACCGGACTTTTCAACTTTACATCCTTGTCCTTGGGTATCAAAAGAGAATTTCAGTAGTCACTCTTACAACGGTAACACAGACAATGATGATATCAACTCGAAAAATCAAAAATATTCCGTCTGCGCTGTCCTATGCGATTTAGTCTGGCCAAATAATGAACTGGTTAAAGCTCATCCAAGGGTTGTTGTAAAAAATCTGATTCGTGAACTACAAACCAAATACAACTTGCGTTTGTTTTCTGCTTTCGAACCAGAATTCAGAGTATTCAAAAAGGGTACTTTTGAGACAGCCTGTTTAAAGCCATCACCGGCGACGAAGAAACCGGAGTCGTGTTCCTTTAATTTACCAATACCGTATACAAAGTTTAGTGATATTTACAGGACAAGTTTACTGTCAGTGTATGAAGATCTATTCGCTGATATTGAATACAATATGCATTTGGCTAAAATCAGTGTACAAGATTATAGTAATGAAGACGGTGAAGGACAGCTGGAATGCCCATTGATGCCGACGTGGGGAATATCCGCAGCGGATAATTACTTTATATTTAAGCAAGCTGTGAAAGAAATCGGTGTGAAACATGATATGGAGATTTCATTTATGACGAGACCTTTGCTGAACAGCAGTTCCAGTGGTTGTCACTTTAATCATTCCTTGTGGTATGCTGATACTAATCGTAATGCATTTTATGACGAACAAGGTAAGTGTCATTTTTGTGTGACACAATAGGTTACAAAATGTATTCACGCTTTGCATAGAAATCAAGTTATACTTCACATCTGCTGTCTTTAAATTCTAGGGCAAAATATATAGACAAACAAAAGGTGTAGCAATGCGATGGATCACCAATATACCTTATCGTAGTAGATATCTTTATGGGTGGCAGCTGGGGAATTGTTGCTTTTTATGCCTTTAATCCTACTCCAAAAATATGGTGGAGATATGTGGATGACACTTTCACACACAGTGTTAAAAACAGAACATCTCTCTCTCTAGCTTCTTCCAACACACATAAACTCACTAGTATAGGGAATAAAATTCACATTTGAATCGGAAAATGAACAAGGAGAATTATCTATTCATAAAAGTATAAAATTTGGGCACTTCGGTAGAGTATAACCCCGTTATAGATAACGGTTACTGTGCAACACTGTATGATTTATCAAAATAAAATCTTATCTGTTAGGGGAATCAGCTGCGTTAAATTGTAAAATAAAACGAACAGAAGAAGGTAAACTGCACACTAGCGTTCATAAAACCAACGTATTCTGCTAATAGATATTCAGACTTTAATTCATCTCATCCGTTGTCTGTAGAGGTCAGGCTTAGTTAAGTGTCTAACAAACCGAGCAGTAGCACTAAGTAGTACAAGAAAAGACCTAAATGATGAAATAAAACAGATGGAAGAAGCATTGGTATCAAATAACTATCCTATAAAATTCATTAGGAAGATCAGAAAAAGTGAAAAGCAAAATAAAAATAGTAGGGAAACTAATAATGATAACATAAATAAGAGAGAATATAAGGCATCTACACTTCTACCATATAAGGAGGGGATATCTGAGACTCTACGTAGGATTCTTAATAAAGCAGGAACTAGAGTGGTGGCATTCAAACCTACAAACTCACTCACGAGGACAAGCTCTGTAGGTTGAAGGACCCTGTCGGTTGACCTAATTAGACAAAATAATTTAAAAAATACCTTGCAATGACTGTGAGTTAGGTCAACTACATAGGTCAAACTAGTAGATCGTGGGTAATCAGATTCCTGTCAGAACATAAGAATTTAGCTAAGGTAAGAATGATTGACCCCTCGAAGATCAGTAATGTAGGAAGAAAGAAAGCTCAGCACTACATTGCACTGCATGCATTAACACACAACCACACACTAGGGTAGGAGGGAGAGAGTCAAAACTCTAAAAAGTAATGTAGGTAAGTGGAAAGAGAGAGAGAGGAAAAAGGTTGATTACTGAATCTTTTTTCATCGAATAATCTACACTCAACACGTGCATTAGGAATGACTCATCACTAATACAAGGAATATAGAATATATCTACCACCAATGAAATCAAGAGATGAGAAATACTGGGTAACCTGATATGATGATGAGCAATGAGCAATGATAAACTGTGCTCGAAGCGTGGTCATCAGTAAGCATTACTGTATAACACACTGTGTGACTTTATCAAAATAAATTTTATCTATAGTGGAATTGCATGGAGGATTTCATCATGAGCTGACATCAGTTAGAGAACTACTGGAAAACCTGGAAGTACTGGACAGCTGTTTCGTCCTAGTTTGGGACTCTTCATCAGTATGCACCCACCGGGATTCGAATTGTGGAATTGTCAGAATACTTCTTACTCTTCCGTTTCGTCTTAATGACTTTATGTGTCTACTTATTCTACGACCAGTAATTTCACCTATACAGATTGAAAACTCGACTTCTTGAGCACTCTCGATCGCATCAGTTGTCATCGAAATACATTAGCCTGATTTAATGAGTCATTAATTTCAGTCTGTGTATTTATTTACAGTTTGTGATTTCTTATTTGATGATTGCCCCATTTAAACTGAAATGACTGGTTTCTCCTCGTATTTTGTTTCCATCGAAAGGCTCTCAGTATACTGCGTAGTGTATAATATATATATTAATGCTCATGCAGTTGAAGGTAGAGAGATGTTGGATTCAAGCTTCATCAGAAACGTCAAACATTATTGACAGGCAAGTTAAATGATGGATAGCTGAAGTAACTTCATGATTTCTGTACAACTGAATGCACAGTTCCTAATTTACTTAGCTATTATCATTATTAAGCTTGGAAAATCCTCTGGAGTTGTCTCATCTGACTGACTGGTTGAAGTGTAGGTACCACACAAAGCAGCAGAACACAATAAAGGGAGATTCAAAACAGAGGGAGATAATACACAGACGTCTAAGTGAGGGAAAAAGAATAATAATATGGAAGAACAATAGAATCTTATTGGATATGATAAGTCACGGAGAGTGAGTGCATCTGCACCAGCCAGCCATCACCGAGAACGATTTTGAGCCAGCCATAGCCAGCCAGTTGTCTCCAGCCTTCATTGGTTCTCGCCATTCCGAGGACCCCAACCCCGACTTGGCTAGCTGGCTTAAACTAACTGTTATGGATTTCATTGACTGATGATGAAGCTATGTTTTCGTTTGACCAACATCACCACCACCACTAGCTAACTGGGCGATGACTAGGCAGACAGGCATGCGTGAGCAACACATGTCCTAACCATCCATCTCAATCGGTGTAACTGCTTCACAACCTCGTCGTCAATTGATTTCCCCTCCTCACCTAGCACTCGATGCCTAATCTCAATATTACTCACCCTATTATGCCACCTAACATGGGAGATGGAACGCGCACACCTATGATCAAAGACGGCCAGCCTTTTCGTGTCTTCCACTGTCTGAATGGCCATGTCTCACAGTCAGCCAGCCGGCCAAGTAAAGGAAGACGGAGCGGATGATGAGAGTGACAGGGATAAAGGAGGAGGATGATCAGGAGGGCTTCGTGTGCGTTTGTTACTTCTCGGATGCCTCACCGTGGAAGTTGATTTTTTCTTCGGGTTCCTGAAACAGAAAGAGAATTACTGTTGCGTGACCATCGTATTAATTACAAGCCTAAATTACCTTTTGAATACCTGAGTATTTTACTAGTAAATAGAATATCAATTTAAGAAACACTAAGAGATTTCAGCCTACTGAATCTAACTTTTCCACCCTTTCTTTATCCATCCTTCTAGATCCTGATGGCCTGTCGACGCTTGCTCGTCACTGGATTGCTGGCCTCCTAGAACACCTACCTGCAATGCTGGCAATTTGTTCACCGACTACAAATTGTTACAGGCGATTGAATAAATTCTATGCACCTGGTCCAATCAATTGGGATTTTCGTGACAGATTTGTAGCAGTTCGCGTGAAGAATTTCGGTGAAGCCAACACCTACATTGAAAATCGTATTCCCTCATCCGCTTCTTGTCCATACCACGTGATGGCTGCTACTTTAGCCGCTGGTCTAGATGGTCTGGATCGTAAACTCGAACCACCAGCTCCAGGGCAAAAACCAGAACTGGGAAATCTTGTAAAAATGCTACCAGGCACATTTCCTGATGCACTGCAATGCTTGAAAGATGATAAGATATTTGTGAAGAAGTTGGGAACAGATTTCTGTGACTGGTATATACGCATGAAAGAGTGTGGTGATTTAGCTTATCTTGGCCATTTAGATATTAATGATAATCAGGAAGAGACGCTGGCTTTTGAAAGATATGAATACCTAAAGTTTAGTTAAATAATATTAATAATGATAATAATAATATGTAAGCTAACAATAAACTGTTTATCAAGGGTAACAATCAAAGAACCTTTACACTGTTTGAATTTTTGAGTAGTCATATTTGTTGTTGTTGTTTTTTTTAAATTTCTTCTGTTACCTTGTACAGTGAGTGACTTCTAAGTCAACAAAAAAACCAGAAATGCTCTTCAAAAATAAAAGACTCTTAATCCATCCCTACTATTTTTACTGCATAGTGGTGTTTTGTTGCCTAACTTTCTTGTCTAGCGGTCTGTGTAAAACTCCCATGTTTTATTCGCTATTATTAATAGTACTTAATTGTGATATTTTTCTAAATACTTTCAAATAAATGCTCTTGTTCTTTTTCTCTCTCATTGCATCCTACTAAACTGAAACATTTAACATAGATTAAAACGCGCGCGCGCGCCCGAAACCACACACACACGCACACACATGCACCAACCAATCATGGACAGTATTTATAAAATGCACAGAATTTTCACCGGAGTTTATTGCATGATATTTTTCCCTTCGTACAATCAATATCTTCAAGTAAAATATTAATTAATTGACAGTAGTACATCCTGTGACACAGTGGTCTCTGAGCTGAATCGCACACCCATTCCATTATGATATATCTGGCTTTTTCTCCTTCAAGAAAGCCACGATATCTAGTTGAAAGCCGATTTGTAAGATGTTCAGAAGTAGATTTTGAGAACAGTAGTTATCTTATGTTGTATTGGAACACGTTGCCCTCCACAATCAGGCCATTCCTCAAGTTTATTAGCAGCTTGTGAAACAGAAGCTTGTAAACATTTTAAATACACACACAAGAGTAGATTATACCACTAGAGGTCAATACTTCAGTTGATTAAAACAAAGCGAATGCGAGAAAATATATATGCAGTGGTGAGATGGAAGTTTTTGGTAGCCGCCCAAGTTTTAAGCACAACAAGAAATTTGCTGATTAAGTTTTTTTTTCATTATCAGTTGGAACACAGGGTAGACGGCAGTACCGTTTATTCATTCGAACAGTTATGATGAACCTGTACTGTTGATATAACAAGCATTAATAAATCTTCTTTTATTAAAGATGGTTGTTATGTGTCTTTTTGATCATACCAACTGTTAGTTTATTGCTGTTATTCTGCATTGTTTGATAACTCAATAAATTAACTTGATTTTCTTACAAGAATTCCCTTTTTTATTGAATTTGAGCGAAGAAAAAACAAACAGTGGTGCAGAATAACATGGATCCATTTTATGTTTCATTGCTTCTCATCATCTGCATACAAAACTATAATCTTTGATAAAAAAAGTCAGCGTAAAATGTAACATACTTTTCATACATTTATTCCCCTTAATGAATTTGAACAAAGCAAGAACTACAGTTTTAGCATAATAAAGTGGTACCATCTTTTATTTCGTTGCCTTCTCGTCAGCTGCTTACAGGGCAAAGACATTATTAAATGTATCTACAAAAACAATTTTAACATACTTGCACAGAGTTCATTTTAAACAAAATCAGTCGATCAGTATACGCATACACTAATAATATATACATATATATGCAATATTAAACACTATTCCGAACAATAATAATCATACACAATGGAAACTTTTCAGCATTTCGCATTCGGATGAAAGAGAGATGAAAAATATCCAGTTACCAGGTTGGCAAAGAAAGACTGATAACCGCTTCTTTCTGAACGCACAAATCAGGTTTCAGGCGCTTGATGGAAATGGCTTCAGCAAACTTGGGGAGAATTGAGCTCTTTTGCCTACTGATAATTTTGAACAACTTTTTGACGTCCACCTCATGACCGACCCGTGTCTAGGAGATGCCTGGCGATGGCACTGTTTAAAGCATTTGTTCCCAGATGTAGGCATAAACTTTTTGGTACATGTTCAGAAAATCGTAGATATGCCCTTCTTTCTGTCCTTCCAATGTAACTGCTCCCGCAGATATATGTAAATTTGTATATACAGTTGGAGTTGTTAACATGAGAATGATATCTATCGATTTTTGACTGCACCAAAAAGCAAGTTGTTCGATAGATGGGAACGAGCTTAGCTGCCGAATACGCTATGGCTAGTGATGTGCTCAGCCTTCTGTTGATCATCGCTGCAATGTTTTCACCTTTATAATCAAGCTGAAAGTAGATAGACTTTTTTCCTACTGTGATTTGTTTTACATTTGTGATTTCAGATCTTCCATACTTGTTGATGAACCTTTGAGGGTAACCATTGCTCTTCAATGTCTTTTCAAGAAACTCAAATTCTTCCTCTAATTTCTCTATAGAGCATATTCTCCTCGCTCTATAGTACAGAGTCTTGACTAGTCCGCGTTTAAAGCTATTTGGATAAAAACCATTAAAATGTAAGTATTGTCCTTTCCAAGTAGGCATTCGACAAATTGACTTCTGAAGACTACCGTCTTCTAGACGTTGCATGGCAATGTCGAGGAAGTGGAACTTTCTGTCACTTTTGTCATCGACAAGCATACTAGAAGAGTGTCATGGTGATATTAAACATTAGGATGACTAGGTAGCTCAAGTGTAAGTATACATATATATATATATATGTATATTGTTGGAGAGAAGTTTCTAGAAAATCACTTGACAAGTTTGTTGTTGGGTTGGTAACAAAAATTAGCAGCAATTACATAGCTAGATAAGAGAAGATCAAAATGTGGTGTGTAAGATTATTATTTTATTATTACTATTATTCGCTTGAGTTCCAAGTGGAATATAGGGCTCCAGCAACACATCTCCACTTTGTCCCATCTTCCCTCGTCCTCTTCAGCTTGGACCACGATTATCCACAATCTCTCACCTCCTCTTCACATGATCTCCTCCATGTCACCCTAGGACGACCCACTCGTCGCTTCCCATTTGGATTGCACTCGAGGGCCTGGCGTGCGATGTCATTCGACGTTCTCCATCCTCAATGTATGCCAGATCCATCTCTATTTTCTCCAACTTGTTTGTTGAGCTATCGGCTCTTGGTTGGTTTCTTCCTAGCCAGAGTTTCTTGTAACTAATTCTTTCTGGCCATTTGATCTTCATTATAGAGCCAGTGAAGGTAGCTGTTGATGAAAGTCTGCAACCTGTTGGAAATCCTCTTCGTGACACACCGGCCAAGTTTCTGACCCGTATAGAAGGACCGACTCGACATTGGTGTTGAAAATCCGAATCTTGTTCCTTTTGTTGAGTGCGGAAGATTTCCAAATTGGTTTCAGGTTGATGAAGGCGTATCTCGCCTTTCCGATTCTGACTTTGACATCTTCATCCGTTCCGACTTCCTGTAGTTGAAACGATGCTTCCTAGATAAGTGAAGGAGGTAAACTCTGATAAATCTCTTTACCGGTTGATGGTGATTGGTGCTGGTTGTTGTTGTTGTTGTTGCTGCGGTTCATTGGTTATCTTCATCACCTCCGTCTTCTCTATGTTCACCTGGAGTCATGTCTTCGCCGGCTGCTTCTTCAGCCAGTTTGTTGCCAGTTTTCGCCTGCAAGTCTTCGAGTTTGTGTGACATTAGACATAAGCGATTTGCAAAATCCATATCTCCTAGAGATCGCTTCTTATCGGTGGTCCAGCGTATTCCTGTCTCCTCGCTCCCATGCACAGTCTGACGCATAATCCAGTCCATCACAATTAAGAATATCATCCGTGGCAATAGATAGCCTTGTCTTACACCTGTATTCACTTGGAACGCCTCACCGCGTTTTCAGTTGTGGTTAACCTGATAGGTAGCACTGTCATATAGCCAGCTGTTGAATGAGGTTGATAAAGACTTGAGGTAAGTGGTCAGATGAAAAGATGATGACTATACAGTATGGTGAGTAGAATTCATAGGGTGAAGAAAAATTATCCCTTATGGAAGTCAAACAGAAAACAACGAGCCAAGGGTGCCTGGGGCGTTGAAAGGATAACTTAATGAAGTTCAGAAGATCAAGAGTTATTAAGGGATGAGTCACCAGGGTAAGTAGTAGCAGATTCATTTTGGATACATAGTTTAGGTTTCTGCCAGAGACTCGGCAAACCGGAGAAGACTTGAGGCATTTTGTCTGTTAATTATTTTGAATGATGTCAGTGCGTCTATTTGGTGTCCAGTGACTGTCGAGTGTTTTGTATTTGAATATCTTTAATCTGTTTGGTCCTTTTAATTGGAAGCTCCTTGGTGCATGTTGGAAGAATCTGACCTAGGTCCTTCTTTTTGTTATTCCAGTGTAACTGCTCCTGCAGATACATGTGAGTTGGTGAACACAGTTGGAGGTAACATATTTGGGGGGGTACTTTTCGACTGTGGTTGACTGCACCAACGAGGGGGATGGTCTAATCGGTATCATCCAGGGTCTATCAGGTCTCTGGTAATTGGAGGGCTTGGTGCGTACACTATATATGCCTTTCCATTAGCTCAATGACTGTTTTTCACGTTATCCTTTTTCATCTTTGATTCATTCAGCTATTTGTGTGTGAAGTTCAAAGACATACTCACACACACCGCAATGTTTAGCAGTAACCAAGATTTTTCTCGACATACATATTCCTTGTTTGATTTCTAAGTCATGGAATGAATATAGGTAAGTTCATCTATGATAACGAGTCATAAGATTTGATCCGTATAAATTATATCAAGTTTATAAAATTATATTTGTAAAATCTCAGGGAAATTGAAATGAGTAATTCCAACGTTTCGTTCGGTAATCTGGTCAGAACTTCTTCAGGGAAATTAATCGAAATTAACATAACAGAGATTTATATATAAAAGGAACATCACTTGTTTTTAAAAACTTTGTCCAATCATGAGTCATGAAACAGGCATCAACATGTATAATAAATAAAATTGTATGTTTATATATATATAAAAGAGGAAAATAAACTTGACTAATATTGAAGGAGATGAAATAATGGCAAGTTTCGATGTTTATTCATTATTCACGAATATTCCCGTTAATGATTCTTTAGGTATTATTTATAATTTACTTTGTGCTGATGAAGAACTCAGTGGTCGTTGTCCTTTAAATCCCGACGAAATTATGAAGGTATTAGAATTGTGTCTTCGATCCATGTTATTTACGTTTAGAGGGTTCTTTATCGTCAAACAGGAGGCATTGCTATGGGATCACCAGTATCTCCGCTAGTCACTAATCTGTTTATGCATTCATTAGAAACAAATGCAATTATGAGATGCCTTAGTCCCCCAAAGATGTGGTTAAGATACGTAGATGATACCTTCATCATAATCAAACGTAGTTGTAATGACTTTTCACTTGATAATTTAATATATTTAAAGGTGAAAGATGCATTCTGATGTTAGTAAAAGAATTAATTTAAATTAATGATAATACTTATTATTTACACAAGTACTGTGACCAAGAATCTGATCAACAGAGCAAACGTCTAGTTACTGAGGAGGAAGATATTAGCAGAATAAATTGTTCAATCACTCTTGAATCAAATAATATCCAAATCTTCAATATAAATGTTGAGTGATCTCGAAATCGACGAATCTACATAATACGAGTGTTTTTCGTGCATCAACACCTTACGCTCATTACTGGTTTAAGTTAAGGATAAATAGAACAAAAACAGCAAATTGTGTATACCAGATCAATTGTGGGGATTGTAACGCCGTATATGTAGGAGAAACGTCCAGACAGGTAAATATAAGAGGGAAAGAGCATAAACAATGTCTAGAGGTGGTTCCAAAGACCTCTGAAGACTTGAAGAAGCTAGAAAACAACTCAGCGATTGCACTGCATTCGATAGAAACGGAACACAAAATCAACTTTGATAAGACTGAGGTTTTACAGAAAGGTTTTGGTTCATATGAAGAAAGACTGACTGCAGAATCCCTACATATATAGGTGAATCCCAACAGTTTGAACAGACGTGAAGGTGTGGTGTGATCTTAGCTGATACATGGCAAATCCTGACTAATAAACAAGTTGGATATGTATCAACAACTAGTCACACATGGTCAAATTCTTGATTGTCTACGTCTTCTTATGGAGAGAATAACAAATTTATAAAATTATATTATATTTGTAAAAAAACATCTCAATTATTTTGTAACTAGCCGGTCAAGTCTTGATCACAGCTCATATGAGAATAACAAATGTTTTATGACTGTTCACCCAGACACACATACACACACACCATTGTATACTGCATATACACATATATTTTAACAAAAGTAGACTAATTTCCCTGAAGAAGTTCGGACCAGATTGCCGAACGAAACGTTGGAATTAATCATTTCAATTTCGCTGAGATTTTACAAA